TCCCCGTCAGGAAGAACTGTGTCTCCAATCTGTGAGCCAAAATAAACCCTTCCTTTGAAGCTTCAATTGCTTTTATAAAGTCTTTTGTCATAGTAACAAGAAAAATGATAGTTTCTAAAACCAAGCTGTCAGCAGTCTTATTTCTTTACAATGGCCATTTTTTGCCTTCCAACGTTTTGATTACAGGCTACAAATACTATTATTAACCCCATTTTATGGATGGGAAAACTGAAGCAGAGAGGAATTAAGTAATTCTTAAAATCACATAGCTAGTTTTAGTGATGGAGCTGGAATACAATGCATTTCTGGCTGCAGTGAGAGTATATTTAAACCAGGGATTTATGAAAGATCTATGCATTTAGACATGAAGTAACTTTGGAAGTAATAAGGAGCTTAGAAAAAATATTCTGTATGGTAAGGTGTAGTAAAAATTTTTTTATTGGTACCTAATATGTATGTTAAAAACTATACTTTTCTTTAACACTGATTGCATCAGAATCACTTGAATTTGTAAGAATGATTTCTGAGCTTTATTCCAAATAACCTCATTGGGAGCAGAACTTGATATAGGATACATATCTAGCTTATTGTGATGCAGACATTATGTACCTCTGCATTATTACAACAAAATGGATAATTTAAAAAGTAATTGAAAATGAATAATTATCATTGCTAACTTTCCTAAGTATTCTGCCAGATGTCATTTAATTCTTAATCCAGTTAATCTCAACAAACTTCCATGTTCCTAATAACATTATTCATATTAGTCAGGATATCGAAGACCTGACACACACACACCACAAACACAGAGCAACTAATTATATAGTAATGGTATTTTAATACAGTTTTGCTAATCATTATAATATGTGTATATGTCAAGCTATAACATGTACAGCCTGAATATTTCATTTTGTCAGTTATACTTAACACATGACCAATAATCAGTCATATGGTAATATATATATATATATATATATATATAGTTTTTTGTTTTTTTTCGAGACAGGGTTTCTCTGTGGTTTTGGAGCCTGTCCTGGAACTAGCTCTTGTAGACCAGGCTGGTCTCGAACTCACAGAGATCCGCCTGCCTCTGCCTCCTGAGTGCTGGGATTAAAGGCGTGCGCCACCACCGCCCGGCGGTAATATATATTTTATAGGATTTTGGTTACTATGCCTTTTGCTGCTGTGAATAATGGGACTGAGCATGGGTGTGCGTATATCTCTTTGATTTGGCAATCTACCTAAAGTAGGATTGCTGTTTATCTCCCAAATACTTTAAAGTGCATGACTTACAGCTGTGTGGCAGAGTATTATTGCACTTTTGAGAGAAGAAAGGGTTTTATTTGACTCAGCATTTATGTTGACTGCCATGTGGAGAAATGAGATGTGGGAGCTGGAGATCATTTGGAAACTATGATGTAGCATGATTGATAAAAACTCAGAGACAGAAATTGGGGTTCAACCTGAAGGTCAGAAAAGCAAAACAGTCATCCACTGGTTCTTACCTCTACCTCAGTCTAAAATGGCGATCCTGCCTCCAGGAATCTCAGAATGAGTCTGTGTCTGAGAGTTGTTTCCTCCCGTTTTATATTCTTCTCTAGTGCTGGGATTAAAGGCGTGCACCACTACTGCCCAGTATTTATAGCAAACTAGTGTGGTTATTGGGTGGGTCTGAAGGTGTGAGTCACCACTGTCTGGTCTGTAAGGCTGACCAGTGGGGCTCTTTTACTCTGATCTTCAGGCAAGCTTTGCTTATTAAAATACAAATGAAATATCACTACACTGTGGACATACAGTTTCAGAGGGACTGTATGGTGGTTTGGACCAGAGTACGTAGAGGGTTAGTCAGAGTTTAAATTTTGGAGATAAAGAATTTGTTGTTAGATTTTAAATATATGAGAAAGAAGTGAATTGAGAAGGGCTGGCTTTTAATTGAGAAGGGCTTTTTTTTTTTGACTTTGGAATTATTAGAGCTGCTTAGCATTTGCCATGATTGTGAGTTTCCACGGCAGATGCCTGAGACCTTTCTTAGTCCTCTTCAACTTCCGTCTCATAGTACTGACCAAATATATGTTCTTAAAGGGAAGGTGTAAGTTTGAAGAGTCATCTTCTCATTATGTTTAGACTAAATGAAAATTTGTTGTTTTGTTATTTTGAGACAGAAAGCATAGGCTTGACTCAAACTTGGGAATCTTACTGTCTCAGCCTCTTGAATGCTGGGGTTATGGGCATAAACCGCATACCCAGCTTATGTAAACTCTTAATGACTTTATGTCATATAATCTAATTTATATATATTTCCAGTCTTTCACTGCTACTTGACCCAAGCCTTTGCTAAAGTCACACAAAAAGTTGTTTCCTGAATATTCTATAAAAATGTTTATGCTTTTACAATTGAAAAATAAATTCCAGATGTGATGGTACACACGTTTAATACCAGCACTGGGAGGCAGGGAGGCAGAAAAATCTCCGTGAGTTCAAGGCCAGCCTGGCCTACAGAATGACAGCCAAGGCTACAGAGACTCTGTCTTCAAAAATGCAGAACCAAAATCAAAAACTAACCAAAACCAAAACAAACCAAAGCAAGAAAACTAATACAAATAGCCACAGAATGCTTTCCTGATGCTCTTAGCCTTCTCTCTTCCCACAGAAGCCCTGCCTTTTAGTGTGGTTAGGGTTCGGGTTCTTTCTTTCTAGTGACATTGAGAATACTTATACTGTTTTGTCTTAATTACTACATCCTTTATGTTCCTCTATTAAGACTTCAATAAAGGGAAGAAAAAGTTATCAGCTTTGAAGTAATAGAGAATAATCTTGAAGAAAGTCTAGAGAAAGATATCATATTAAAATATTTGAAAAGTAAGGGCTGGAGTGATGGCTCAGCAGTTTCTAGTGTGCATGCTTTTACCAAGGACCCAAGGTCAGTTCCTAGCACCCACACTGGGTAGCTTATAACTGCCTGTAACTCCAATTTCAGGGAAACTGGCATCTCTGGCCTCTGTCGGTATCTACAATCATATGCACACATGCATATAAACAATTAAAAATAATAAAAGATCTTTAGAAATGTATTTGAAAAATAGTAATTTGGAAGAAAAGTTTATTAGAATGAATTTAAATATAGTTGGTTGTTATCAATAACCTGCTATAGTTCTGAAAATTTAAAATTACTCAAGAAAAATGATTTTATTTTCATTCCAGAAAGGATAAAATGTTACTAGGAGTCTTTTTGAGGCCACATTGACTCATTTAAAAATTATTTAATTTTTCTTAAGTGTACATGTTTGTGCTTGCTTGTCTATATGTGTACCACATGTGTTCAACACCTTCTGAGGCCAGTTGAAGTTATTGGGTCTCCTGGAACTGGAGTTACAAGGGGTTGTGAGTCTCCTGATGTTATGTGTTGAAACTGAACTTGGTTCTTTCCAAGACCATCAAGGACTCTTAATCACTGCGCTATCTCTTCAGCTCTCATATTAGTTTATAACTATAATATCATATTTTGTTTTAGACCTCTCCATTTTAGTATGGACATTTATATCTACTTTTTTTGGGGGGGGAGGGGTTGTTTTGTTTTTCAAAGCAGGGTTTCTCAATGTAGCTTTGGTTCCTGTCCTGGAACTAGCTCTTGTAGACCAGGCTGACCTCGAACTCACAGAGCTCCACCTGCCTCTGCCTCCCGAGTGCTTGGATTAGAGCCACTGCCTTTATATCTATTCTTATTTCTTTATCTTGCCATTATGTAAGTAGGGAAATTTTCATCTCAATTTCTTTCTTATAGCTCAGTAGACTTACAGTATAAATGAGGTAGAAGCTGGAAATTATCTACTTCGTAAGTATTGAGAGATAGACTTCTTTAGAAGCTCTCATTAATATAAGTGATAATGTTATAGTAAGGATAAGGTTGTAATAAGATACCTTTCTACTTAGGGTACAATCTATGAAAATATAGAATTGCCTTGCTCACAAGTGCTGTCTTAGTGCCCAGACAGTTCTGGGTTAGCAACTCAAAAAATTGTTGGCTAGGTTGATGCTAGATTGTGTATAAGGGTCAGTATAAATGAATGAAAGAACGTCTTGTTGTGTTGGAAGAGCTGACGTGATGCAGGGTGGGAATTGTGAATGCTACAATACAAATATCCTGTTGGTTAACTACCTGTTACTTAGGGGTCTGAAGTTATTTTAATTCTGACATACTGCATGGAAACAACTTGAACAAAAACGCACTGATTTCTATACGTCTAGTATTTTCCATAAATGGAAAAAAGTGGATAGTTGATGAAACTTTCCAAATATGGAATTTGCAAGATTTAGTTATGCCATTTAATTTGATCTGCTAACACTGTATATTGTTAAACAGAAATACATTTATCATTTTTATTTCCAATAAATGTTTGAATTTCTTTTCTATTTGTATTAATTGCATTCTTAAAATGTATTAGTTTTAGTAATTATTTTCATTTATATTCAATCCAACTAGAGACTCACCTTTTAGAAATCTCAGATTATATACTTGAATCTTTGAATATAAAGTAGAATGTGTAGCAAGCAGAAATTATCAGAGTGTGAAGAGAAGATGCTACAGGTTTGAAAGAACATTTGAATAATCAGGCTATTAGGGAAGCCAGTAAAACATTTTGTCCAAAAGTTGACTCAGAAAAAAAATGACCTCTTTAGTAGTTTTGTGGAAGAATATAGTATTGTTTGGTCAATTTCAATTCACTTAAGGTCCATACTCCTTGGAGAGTCGGATTGGTCTATGTAGGGCCGTCATTGACATAGTTCCAACTGTATATGGAACTTAATAATTCCCCAAAGGAAAAACAAGAGTCTTAATCAAAAGCTTTCTAAGCCGGGCACTTAAAAGAAGATTCTTTTTACCGTCAGTATTTTGTTTAAGTAAATATTTCGAGAATGTCCTTTTATGACATTCTTCATTCCGCTAGTTCAGTTATCTATTTTGTTAAAATTCTGAACCCCCCCTTATTTTTCCTTTGCAGGCAGCTATCAATGGTGTAATACCCCAGGAAAATGGCATTCTACAAAGGTATGTTACAAAGTACTTAATGGTTTGATGACAATTTATCAGAATGAAGAAGAAAATTTTACCAATATATTATATATATATATATGTATAGTGATTTTTTGCTTGCATGTATGTAAGTACAGCATTTGCATGCAATGCCTGCAGAAGCAGTCCAGAAGACAGCATTGGGTACTGTGGAACAGGAACTGAAGTTTCACGTTGTTGTAAGTTGTTATGTGAGTACTAGGAACCAAATCCAGTTCTTCTGAAAGAGCAGCCATCTCTTAAGTGTTGAACCACCTCCATATTGCCAGTTTCTCTGTTCTGTTCACCTTTTAGTGGAGCTATTGACTTTTGGTCAGTAAGTTCATTAATACAGGCATTGTTTTTTTGTTTTTTTGTTTTGAGACAGGGTTTCTCTGTAGCTTTGGAGCCTGTCCTGTAAACTAGCTCTTATAGATCAGGCTGGCCTGGAGCTCACAGAGATCCTCCAGCCTTTGCCTCCCTAGTGCTGGGATTAAAGGCATGCACTACCACTATCCGGCCAGACATTGTTCTTTTATAGTATTTGTTAATTAGTTCTCTGAAGTTAGTTAGTTCTATCAAATTTCCAGCCAGTCCCCCCCCCCCCCCCGCCCCTCTTTTGGAGCAGGGTTTCATGTGTTCCTATCCTGTCTTGAGCTCTCTGTATCGCTCCATCTGGTCTTAGTTCTCTGTCTACTTCTGTTTCCCAGGTGCTGGTATGGCAGGCATGCGGAGTCTCATTTTTACTATAAAATCTTTTTTTTTCCAGTTGGATAATACAAACTTTTAGAGTGATTTGGTGATTTTAAATAAGACATGGCACAATATCCACACAGTATGGTTGTCACCTGACAATTCAGGCTTTCTCTTCAAGCTGACAACACAGTCTTTCCCCCTTCCCCAGTTGCTTTCAAACTCTGGAAATTTGTAACAGTTTCACTAGCTTTTTAATAATGACACATCCCAGAGCACAGGACTATGACCCTGTCTGATGAAATAGTCTCTGTTAACATGTGGATTAGTTTTATTTACTTTGTGTCTTTGTTACAGGTAAAATTGGAAGATGATCCTAAGAGAGAACTATAATGTTTAAAACATCCCTAAAAAGGAGTGGGCGATTTTTTTTTTTTAAATTTCCTTTTGAAAGTGAGAGATTTTGGTTCTGGATTAAAATAACTCAGTTTAAAGTCAGAGGAAATAAAACAGTTTTTCCTTCTAAACGTAGTTTATTTTTTTGATACTTGCCCCTTCAATAGAGTACTTTTAGTTCCGACTGTTGGCTTGAGTTTTGGTGGCTGGTACTTGTAAGTCATGGAGTGTGATCTGCTATGTGTAGATGAGCAGGCAGAGACGGGGAGAGGAAGAAAAGTGCTGTCACAGCAGAAAACATTCAACCTGGATTGCACAATTGTGCTATATTTGGTAGGAAACTATGTATTTAGGATAGAGGCAAAAAACTGTTGCTGCCTATACCACTTTTAATGATTTAATGGAAAGCTATTTTCCAGTTCCCCCTTAAAATTTGTCACGTTTGATCCAGAGTAAATATGGCTGATGTCCAGAGTCTGTAGCACAGCTTTGTTGGTTTTGGTTGGAAGGGTGATTTAAAAGTATTCAGTTAGTTCTACTGAAGCTCTTGTCCAGAAAAGGAAACCAGATAATTACAGGAACTTCATGGCCACTTTATAAACTTGGGTTTAGAAAGTTTTAGAGTACTAAATAGCACTCCAGCTTCATCTTAATGAGTTCTGTTACCACATTCTGTGCCTTCATTTCCTCTGGGGCTTTTCATTGTAATACTGAGGACATTGGACTCCATAGCATTTGCTGTGGTACCTGCAGAAGCTTGTATTCCCTGGAAATATCCCGTTTTTCTTAGTATAGATGATATCTTTTGCCTTTTTTTAATGATAAATTTAGTATCCTCTAGTAAATACTATAGTATTTACGGTCTAAATTTGAACAGAGTGAGATTTTTTTTGGCTTTCTTTGCTTCTTTCTGAGGAACAAATCATGCCTGTGAAGGAAAATAAGTTGTATCTAGTAAATTTCTCAACTGTTTTCTTCCTCTATTCTTTAGTTTTTAAAATCACTGTGAATTTCCATAACTGGGAACGGCAGTTTGCCAACTAAGGAAAATAAAAGAGCTCTTTTTGCCTTCTTTCATAGTTGGCACTGAAAGCAGAAGTCAGCACTAGATGTCTATGTAGTCATTGCTTTGTATCTTTGATTTAAGTTAGCAATAGTTTATAAAGAACTGACTTTTACTTTATGCTTTAACAGAAGAGCAGAAAGAATCAAATATATTTTTGTATGTATCAGGTTTATTTCTCTTGCTGAGGTAAAATATCCAAAACAACTTCTGGGAGAAAGGGCTTATTTTATCTCACTGTTCCAGGTAGTGGTCTGTCATAGCAGGGACATGAAGGCAGTTGGAACTTAGAGCAACAGTTACATACATTCCATCACAGTCAAACGCAGAGAGGATTGACACATTCCTGTTTACTATTCAGCTTATTCTGTCTACTCTTATACAGCCCTGGACCCTTGAAATGCTGCTGCCCACTTTTAGGCTGGATCCTCTCACGTCAGTTAACATAATCAAGATATCCCTCACAGCGATATCCACTTGACAGCCTGACAGTCTCTTAATGAACATTTTTTTTCTAGGTGGTTCTAGAGTGTGTCAACTTGGTAATTAAAGATCACATTATTTATCCTATTTATATATTTTGACATTTGTATAAGATATTATCATGAGATACAGATGTTTTGATAGTAAATAGTTGCTGGGCACTGGTAGATATAATTCTTTTGGCCAGAGGTTATAAAACTATTTGGAGTTTGAGTCTTGGAACCCTCATAGTAGAAAGAGAAGACCAGCCCCGACAGTTTGTTCACTGACCTCCACTTGATTATGTTGGGTGTACTTTGGTCAATAATACTTAAAAGTTAGAAAGGGGAAATTTAAAAAAAAGTTATGCCCTTTCTTTATTGTTATTTTTCTGGAAGATTAGTAAACATGAGGTCATAACTTTTTTTTAAAGGTATTTTCCTTTGGGTAAGAAAGTAGAAATTCAGCACATGTATATAATATTTTTGTTTTCCAAATTTATTTTTACAGTCATTTTAGTTACATATTTTTGTTAGACATTAATAAAGACAGATACTTTTATCCCTGATTTAATATTAAGGATAATAAGGCATGAAGTGGCTTGACCCAAATGCTACCGCGTGATGTTGCTGGTGTAGGGAATATCTTCTGGTTCAGCACATCCTCTGGCCTTCCTAGGACTGTCTCATTAGGCGACATACAGATACCACAATATGTTTTTAATGACTGACTTACGTAGTATTCATTCACTTGTAAGCAAACATCAAGTTTATACTCGGAATTTGGGCATTCTTAATAGTTAATATTAAGAACGTTGTGCAGTACCTCACATACTATCTTCAGAGATAATTTTTTAGAAGTATTATTTAATTACTTGCACTAAGGGAGAGCAGATGCTATGTTTAAAAATGAGCTTTATAAATTTATAGTGTAACTTTACTTATTCACTAAATGGTTGATTTTTATCAATTACTTATTTTATGACCCAGAAGAGTATGTAGTGTACTCATTTGTTTATTGCTTAGCATAATTACACTTAGGAAAGACATGTTTATTTTCAAATCTTGAGTGTTATACTTTTAGTATATATAATGTTAAACCTTCAGAATGTGTAAGTGCTCAGGCATTCTGGTTTAGTAAAATGTCCATTAAAACAATCTGAATTGCTTTATAAATTTGCCTTGAAAGCAGATGTGGTTTTATTGGATAGGTGTACCCAGAGACTTTGCCATGGAATGAACTTCTCAAAGTTGAAATAATAAGCAAGTGTCCAGTTCCTGTTAACTTAGGAAAAGTCCTTACTACCTCCTGGAGCCTGAGTGAGTGCTCTGTTGAGAAACCTAAGCACTTGCTGGCCGAGAATTAGACCTGAGGTAGATTTCTGTATAGAAGCCCCCCATCAGTGCCTCTTAAAAAATGATGTTTTTTGCTACAGGCCACAGGATTATACAGTGAGGATTCAACTGATAAAATCATAAGGCTGACCCACCGGGATCACTCATTCTAATGGAGGACACCCAAATTGCAGGGAGTTGAGGACATTTGCCTTTTGAATAGTTGCTGTCATTTCTGTAAAACTTTTGTGAAGCCATAGTGCTTCCTTTTCCATAGTGAGATTTGTCCCCCAAATCCCCAGCAGTGTATTAATCAATTATTGGACATAAGTCCTTCATGTACCTGTATAATGTATGACCTTTGCTCACACTGTGGGGCCCTGAGATGGAAGTATTCACACAGTCTAGAAACTGTGGTTCTCATAGTCAAATCTATAATCATTCTCTGATACAAACTTAGAACTAGCTCCCCACAATTATCCTTTATGGCAGGATATTCAGCCAGGATGAGGAACCTTGCAAATGGACCACATTTGGAGCCTCAAAGAACAGGTACTGAGAAAGGAGGATACAGCTTGTCTGCCCTCATGATAAGGAAAACTGGGCACCCTGATTTAGGTGTGTGAAACCTCAACTGGCCCCTGCTCTATCCTAACAAGCTATTAATATTCTCTACTTACCTTCATCTTGGTTTTGTTGATACTAGATCTTAGTCTAGGAAATTAACTGTTTGTGCCTATACCCCTAGAGGTGCAGGAAAAAGCTAACTAGCCCCAGAGAAAGGAATTCCTTCTAATTTGGGCATCAGTGGGGACAAGTATCCTGCTGCTTAGCCTGAGGCTGGAAGTATCAGCCTCAGGATTTTACACTACATAGACATAGTTTTTCCATTTGCTCTAGCCACTTTAAGATGTAATCTCTAGGGCTGAGACGTCCTCTGTAATCAGCTACATTTGGTGAAAATGCTAATAGGGATCAAACACCACCCATTTTTCTTCCATAGCTCACTTCGGTTGTCATAGTTACCACAAAGCTGTATTCCTAGCCAC